CAAATAAATCAATTTCGTCAGCACGAGGAGCATTTGAAGCTTGATGACTTCAGTCTATTTGTTCTCCATGTTTTGAAGGTGTCTACATAACAAAGACACCCTGAAGCAGTCCAGTATTGTAATGGAGGACTATCTGTATCGCACGACCACGGTTTACTTTGACTACAGGTGTGTGTGTGTGTGTGTGTGTGTGTGTGTGTGTGTGTGTGTGTGTGTGTGTGTGTGTGTGTGTGTGTTACCTGGCAGGTGTGTGCTCCAGCGGTCGGTCCAGCTGAACAGAGCAGAGCGCTTCTGTGACGACTTTAGCCGACAGGGAGAACCTCTCGTACTCTGAGGGGGAGACCAGGTAGAACCCTGCGAGGAAAACAACATTTAGACCCCTTCACTGAGAACCAGCCCTCAGTGCAGTGTGCAGTCAGACTGGGGGGACATTATCACTGGAAAGAAAGTTGGATGTTGTTTTTCCATCCTAAGAAGCACAAACAAATGTCCGTGCTGTACTTGCATTATTATGATTAATATGACAGTTAATCACAATTATTTCTGGGACAACATCGTGTCCAACATCAGTCGCAAACTGGCATGACTGGCCTAATAATGGTGAAAAACATTCAAAATGTACTTTACTTAAATAGAGTAGAGGAAAGCCATTATAAAAACATATTAAAAAAAATACAGAATCAAGGCTGATTTGTTACAGTTTATTTTTGGGAGGCAGGGGTCTCAAGAGATTCTCGGCAAATTAAACAATAACGACACGCATGACTGGAAACAAATTGGGCGAGTGGAACATTTTGTTTTTGGTATGATGTGTGTGAAATGACCCTTAAAACCTCTCGCTGTGTGTATATTCTGCACAGCTTGGTAATTGTTATTATCACTATGCAATTTTCCTTGTGACGTTCAGAGTCTGAAAAGGACATTTTTTTATGTTTTAATCAAAATCAAGCATATTTTTCTCACCCTGTCCGTTCTTGGTAAAGACACAGGATGCAATGCCGCTGATGTCTTCTTTACGGATGCAGTCGTGGCGCACCTAAAGACCCACAAAACAAAATAGGCATCAATTAGCGGTGCTTAGCGAATAAATGAACAAATGAATAGTTGTCTCATATATAGAAATAACCCTAAATACTGTAATAATGCGTGTGTCCCTACCTGAGGTCGCAGGCCGGGGATGGTGAACAGGTGCATGTCTCCCAGGTTGGTCAGACACACCAGAGTGTGCTCGCTGTAGTCCTCCTGAGCCGTGGAGCCGAACACCACCAGCGCCACCTTCCTCACCCGGCAGCCCTCATGAGCCGTCAGCTTGAACTTGGTCTTAGCGCTCACCTTAGGGAGGGAGAACACCTGGAGAGAGAGGGGAGAGAGAGAGAGAGGAAATGTATTCAGTCAACTTTATTGTCAATCTTTCAGTTTGTGTGTTTAGATAGAGATCGAAATACCGTTTCCAACAATCTCGAATACAAAAACAAATATATATAAATCAACAGTCACATTTATACATATGCACACATTAAGACTTACATAAAAGCACAACAATCAATATATACAAAATAACAGTCAATTCAATATCTTTGAGAATGTACATTAGTGCAAGACTGTCCATCGCAGCGTCAAATAAAAAGTTTAGATTTAGAAAGTTTTAATTTAGACCTTAAAGAGCAACTTCCAGGTTAAAGACACCTGTGAATAAATGTGTAGGAAAATGATGAATACACTAGATTTTCAAAAAAGTATACATAAATATACACTACAGTGACATCTGGCGTCGTTTTTAAGACATTTTTACTCAAAAAAGCCTCGGCACGTGACCTCCCGCGTGTGACGTAACACGGGGGACACAAGGGGGAGAGCGGCCGGTGTAACGTATTAATAAACATGGATCCCAATGCTAGTTTCGACACAAAAGAAGTTGAACATGAATATTCAAATGCATATGACGGACCACAACCTTATAATTATGAGCCTGCTAGGCGTCCAAGAGACCAGGAGCAGCCAAGGATTAGAAGAAATAACGGCCATCGGAGAGAAATTGAGCTGTGGTGTGAGGAGAACCAGTGGAGAACTGGGCAGCTATCTTGGTGAGTGACCGGCGTTAGCTACAGAATCGTAGGCTGCGTTAGCATGTTAGCTAACGTCACATCACAACATTGTAAAGTTAGCTATCATATATCAGGCTATAACTAAAGTAGCATTGATAATATAGTAACGTTACTGGCAGGACTGTTGATACTGATCCATAACAGAAACTAATGCGCAAGTATCAGCCGTATCTCGCGTTACCTAATGCAGGGGTGCAGTGACAACGGTTTTTTCTAGGTCAACAAGGAAGTATGCATCTTACTGTAATAGCTCTCACAAAAAAACGATGTCATTTTTTCCATTAGATTTTGGAGCATATACTTT